CTTTTCATCTGCTTTTTTGCGTTTAAGTTCCCTGAAATGAAAGAAAATATCAAGGGTGAAGAGTCACCTAACTTTAAAAATTCTCAAGATGAAAATGTGCCAATCGTGGTGGGAGCTGAGGGTAACAGAAACTGTGGAATGTTTGTTACAAATTTTACAAGAACAACATCAAGAGGCAGCCCAAATTCTAGCCGAAGAAGTTCATCGTAGTGTAGAATTTGATAAAGAACTACATGAGGATTTGCCTGAATTACCAAATGATGTGGATTATAGTCAATTGGGTATATGGATTGATCCCATAGGTAAGAAGGAACCATAAACGTATTACATATCATAAGCAACTGTTTTCTATTCAGATGCCACCGCTGAATATATATCCGGCGATACTATTTTCACCAATTTCCCGGCATAACATCCACTGGCTTGGATTGTGTTACAGTCCTTATAGGGGTCTATGATGTCAATAGCGGTTTTGCCTGTCATTGGCGTTATTTCCCAACCATTGGTAATAAAATCGAAGACAATATCTATACATCTGCTTTATTTTGGGGTATAGCATTACCCGACTTACAGGCACACAGCAAAATACTAGATAACGTCCGAGAACGCTCACGACTGTTGGGTATTTTTTCGAGTTCAGAACGAGCAGATTTATTACAGCAATTGCTGGACTTGGGCTATGAATTTGCATTTTCAGCTGGTGCTGGACATAAAGCTTTAAAAGTTATAACCGCTGAAGTAGATGCGTATGTATTGAGTAAAGCTTCCACGTTTAAATGGGACACTTGTGCACCCCAAGCTATATTACGTTCCTTAAATGGTGATATTATCGATTTTAAACAAGTATAAAAGAAGGAAAAGCCATACCTTTGACTTATACTAACGCTACTGAGGACACCGAAGGAAGGTAGAGCGGACAGGATTGGAAGTGTAATAGTAATGGTTTAATAGCTGTTAGAGATTTAAAATTATTAGATAATTTATTAGAGAAATTAGCTGAATCTTAAGTTCAATTATATTTTAGATTTATCATAATAATGATAAATATATTCCAATCAAAAATTCCTAATTGTTTTTAAGTTTACTTTAATTGTTAAACTAAGTGGAAAATAATTTAAAATAGTTTGAAAATGTTAAATGAAAATTGATTTGATATTGATAAAAACATATTTTTTGTATTAGTTAAGTGGCAATTTCTTAGATATTCTTTAAACTTAACGACCATATTCTAATTTTTTAAATTAAGAATAAATCATCATCAAAACAATGGAAATTGTAGGATTTGAAATCGTATAATATTCTTTGCATATATACCAACACCTGCCAGATTTGCTAGTTTAACAGTAAATTATTTCTGTACTTAATATTTTGAATATATTTTTTCTTAAATCTTTCTGTTTAAACCCAATAAATCTGACTGTTTATGAAAATGACCAATTATTAAAACATGGTATATGTATATTCATATTTTATATGTTTATACGCATATAATTAATATTGAATCTCTATGTTAAATGGTAGCTTTAAATGTTGTTGGTCTGATACTGTACTTGATATTATTCCTATTGAAAAGTGTATTTTAATAAATATTTATAATAAAAAAATAATATTATTGTCAAAAGTATTATCTTCATATATTTTCAATTATTTAAAAGGAACAAATTTCGGTAATAAGTCCCATGATTTACTAATTAGACACAATTATATCCATATTATATTTAAGAGAATTCATAAAATCAGAAAGTTTTAAAGGTTCGATTAATTTTGGAATAAATTGCAGAAATTAAATAATTCTATGGAGATTTCTAGATGAGATTCTACGCGTTAATCACCATTAATAATCGTTATAAATCAAGCATACAACTCTCAGTACTTTGGTCTAGTCTATAGTCTAGTCTATAGTCTAGTATATAGTCTAGTATATAGTCTAGTCTAGTCTATAGTCTAGTCTATAGTCTAGTCTATAGTCTAGTCTATAGTCTAGTCTATAGTCTAGTCTATAGTCTAGTCTATAGTCTAGTCTATAGTCTAGTCTATAGTCTAGTCTATAGTCTAGTCTATAGTCTAGTCTATAGTCTAGTCTATAGTCTAGTCTATAGTCTAGTCTATGGTCTAGTCTAATAATAATTCTATGGAGATTTCTAGATGAGATTCTACGCGTTAATCACCATTAATAATCGTTATAAATCAAGCATACAACTCTCAGTACTTTGGTCTAGTCTATAGTCTAGTCTATAGTCTAGTATATAGTCTAGTATATAGTCTAGTCTAGTCTATAGTCTAGTCTATAGTCTAGTCTATAGTCTAGTCTATAGTCTAGTCTATAGTCTAGTCTATAGTCTAGTCTATAGTCTAGTCTATAGTCTAGTCTATAGTCTAGTCTATAGTCTAGTCTATAGTCTAGTCTATGGTCTAGTCTATAGTCTAGTCTATAGTCTAGTCTATAGTCTAGTCTATAGTCTAGTCTATAGTCTAGTCTATAGTCTAGTCTATAGTCTAGTCTATAGTCTAGTCTATAGTCTAGTCTATAGTCTAGTCTATAGTCTAGTCTATAGTCTAGTCTATAGTCTAGTCTATAGTCTAGTCTATAGTCTAGTATAGTCTAGTCTATAGTCTAGTCTATAGTCTAGTCTATAGTCTAGTCTATAGTCTAGTCTATAGTCTAGTCTATAGTCTAGTCTATAGTCTAGTCTATAGTCTAGTCTATAGTCTAGTCTATAGTCTAGTCTATAGTCTAGTCTATAGTCTAGTCTATAGTCTAGTCTATAGTCGTCTATAGTCTAGTCTATAGTCTAGTCTATAGTCTAGTCTATATTCTAGTCTATAGTCTAGTCTATAGTCTAGTCTATAGTCTAGTCTATAGTCTAGTCTATAGTCTAGTCTATAGTCTAGTCTATAGTCTAGTCTATAGTCTAGTCTAGTCTATAGTCTAGTCTATAGTCTAGTCTAGTCTATAGTCTAGTCTATAGTCTAGTCTATAGTCTAGTCTATAGTCTAGTCTATAGTCTAGTCTATAGTCTAGTCTATAGTCTAGTCTATAGTCTAGTCTATAGTCTAGTCTATAGTCTAGTCTATAGTCTAGTCTATAGTCTAGTCTATAGTCTAGTCTATAGTCTAGTCTATAGTCTAGTCTATAGTCTAGTCTATAGTCTAGTCTATAGTCTAGTCTATAGTCTAGTCTATAGTCTAGTCTATAGTGTAGTCTATAGTGTAGTCTATAGGTCTAGTCTATAGTCTAGTCTATAGTCTAGTCTATAGTCTAGTCTATAGTCTAGTCTATAGTCTAGTCTATAGTCTAGTCTACAGTCTAGTCTATAGTCTAGTCTATAGTCTAGTCTATAGACTAGTCTATAGTCTAGTCTATAGTCTAGTCTATAGTCTAGTCTATAGTCTAGTCTATAGTCTAGTCTATAGTCTAGTCTAAAGTCCTAGTCTATAGTCTAGTCTAGTAGTCTAGTCTATAGTCTAGTCTATAGTCTAGTCTATAGTCTAGTCTATAGTCTAGTCTATAGTCTAGTCTATAGTCTAGTCTATAGTCTAGTATATAGTTAGTCTATAGTCTAGTCTATAGTCTAGTCTATAGTCTAGTCTATAGTCTAGTCTATAGTCTAGTCTATAGTCTAGTCTATAGTCTAGTCTATAGTCTAGTCTATAGTCTAGTCTATAGTCTAGTCAGTCTATAGTCTAGTCTATAGTCTAGTCTATAGTCTAGTCTAGTAGTCTAGTCTATAGGTCTAGTCTATTAGTCTAGTCTAGTCTAGTCTAGTCTTTAGTCTATAGTCTAGTCTATAGTCTAGTTCTATAGTATAATCTATAGTCTAGTCTAAAGTTAGTCTATAGTGTAGTCTATAGCTAGTCTATAGGCTAGTGTATAGTCTGTAGTCCTAACTATAGTCTAGTCTATAGTCAAGTCTATAGTCTAATCCATAGTTTAGTCTATAGTGTAATCTGTTCGTATAGTACTCATATATGTATGCTAGTGAATATAGTTTAAATTAAATAAAATTAAATACACAAATTTCTGAAAAATCTTGGTACTTTTTGTTCTTTCAAATTGTTAAATTCTAGCGAGTAATAAATATACAAATTGTTCGGGAGCATATTCTTACCATGAACTGGAATTGTTATTATTGCATTTATTGTTTTAAAAGTGATTTTTATTGCATTACGATATTAAAAACAATTATAAATTAATAATGACTCAAACTACAATAAAAATCCTTAAAATTATATAAATTCCTTATAAATATTGTTACCATTAAATGGGGAAATTAAAAAACAGAAATTAACATAGCTGCTAAAAGGAAAAGACCAAATTAAATAAGAAAAAAAAAACACTGTTAAGAATAAACGAAACAAATTAAGACGTGTATATTAAAATACATTTACAACATTTAATGAAAAAGACATTACAATAAACAAATGATTACAATTAAAATAACGAAAGACAATACAAAAATATTTAATTCTAATAAGTTAAATAGAGAAATACTTGTTTTAAATAAAAATTATTTAAAACATTTCGAGAATATGGTTTTTGTTTTTTTTTGGTAGGCAGTTGTTGTTGTTTTAACACAAAAACTCAATTTTTTTTTATTGTTTGTTTAATTTTTATAAAAATTTATTTTCGGTTTTGTTATAATTTATTGTTGTTACTTTAAAACAATTTTACTATGGCTTTGTTTGGCTTTTTTATACATTAAAAAAAATATTAAAATAAATTTAAAAATTACTTGTATTTCGCATTATTTCTATTTAAGAAATAATTTGTAAAGGTTAGTTTAAAACAACTAATTATTATTAATTATTGTAGTTTTTTAAAACAATTTGTTTCTTTTATTTATTAGAATTATTATTCGGTTGCAGTGTACTATTTAAGGTTTCATTATTGTTTAATATTGTTATTTTTCAAGGCACTATTTTGTAGGTATTGTATTTTGTTTTGTTTTGTTTTTGTTTTATAAAATCGTATTTTGTTTTGTTTTTTAACAGATTTGTTAAATTTACATTTTCTTATTCATAGTCATTTCATGAGCTGTTCTTAAACGCTTTCTAAGCTCAGTGGGGAAACGTTCATAACATTTCTTACAAACTGGCTTCTCATCATATTCATAGAATTTCGATTTCTGAGTCATTTTTGTATCGCACACAGAACAGGCAAAATGATGTACACACCAGGCTTTATTAAGGGCCGTGAAAACTTTATGATTGTTACAAAAACACAAAAATTATTTAATATTTTTTTTGCAAAAAATTTCAAATATTTCAACTTACCATCTCCGGCTATAACTTGATTGCATACAAAACATAAATTGCCAAACAATTGATGATAATGAGTTTCACAATATGCCAGGCCACGTTTCTCATAATGACGATGTCCCAAGAATGGTTTTTCACATTTGGCACATACAAATGCTAAAAAATAATATGGACGGATGTTATTGTTAGTAATTGTGTTTGGTGTTTATCACAATTTTTTTGTTTAATACGAACCTCTACATGCCAGTGTTTGCCCAGGGCAGTGACAACACGTTCTTCTATGGGACGACGACAGGCGCCACAAATTGGTATACCCATTTATCATGACAACGCAGGCAATATAATTCATTCTAAAATAATACGGAGAAAAATACAAAGTTAGTAAAATGACCTTGAGAATAAATAATGTTGTATGTATGTATATTTTTAGAAAAAAAGCTAGTGTTTGTGGTTTGGTGTACTTTTGTAAAATTTTGCGCGTAAAAAAGTATTTTATTGAAAAATTCTTAAGAGAACAAAATCTTAAATCAAAACCCTCAAAAGATCTCGATGTTAATGCTAAAAAACTCGGTGTAATTGTTTTGGAATATCTAACAACCTTTTGGAACTCTCTATTCATCAACTGGTGATTTCAGATATCTGGAGCGTCGCTCGGGTAATCCCAATTCTAAGACCGAAGCATCAGATTATTATGCAGAATCCTCCTTCTAGACACGTCATCCAAAATCTCATACCATTGGACGTCAACAGACTGTAAATTGCTAGCGCCGGGAAATGTTTCATCAAATGGCGGTTTCTATAGCCATTAAAAGCTACAAATGCAACAGGGTCCTAAACGAACACCCTCGGCAATCTCGGATTGTGAGAAACAATTGCCCAGGAATTCAATAACTACATTATCACAATTCAGAGCAGGTTGGTGCAGTTTCCTCAAATGCTACTGTGAACGGATCATTACTAGCACTTTAAACCGTTCCCATATAGTCCCGCTATGTCTACAAATTTGCGTTTCCCCTGCCACTCACAGGCACTAACACAAATAACACTTCCTGAGAATAATTTGGACTTTTCTGAGTGTCATCAAAGTCATGCTAAACGTCTCTTATAGATCATTTAGTAAAAATAACTCCAGAATTCACTCACCATATCATTAGCTGCCAAACCTGGACGACTTTTAACCTCTCTTGCGGTTGAATCTAATTCTTGGCCGCAAGCAGTACAATTGAAATGATAACCATGATAAACTTCACCACGGAAACGCAAAGGTTCCTCATCAATAAGACCGCTTTAAAGTAAAATACAAAAAAAAAAAAAAACAAATTTTAAATATCAAAAAAACAAATTTCCTAAACATTTTCAACTTACTGGCATTTTTGGCACACATAACGACCAGTTATTTCAGCCTTAACCTTGGCATTACACTCATGACATAAGGCACGATTTTGATTACGTATAAAACCGCTATCAGCCAATTCTTTGGCACACAACTGACAACGGAAACACTGTGGATGCCAACTGGCCGACATGGCTTTGATAACGCGTCCAATAACAAATTCACCACATTTATTGCAGCAGGGTGCAAATAAGACATGAAAATCATGTTCACAATATTTACGACCCTCGAATTCATAGAAAATGCCATCGGGAAAAGAGCGGAAACATTGGGCACAACTGATAATCGAAATACACAATTTAGTAACTTATTTTGCTGATAAAAACAATCCTTTAGCTACTTACACAAAACATTGCGTATGCCACAATTCACCATTTGAATTGACTATTTTTTCATTTGGCTGAAAACCATCGGCACATCGGGTACAATGTAAATTGTCCAACGACATGTTAGCTGCCTGTAATCTAAAATTATATTAAGAAAATTTAAGAAGTTAATTAGTTATCTATTTGTATTATTTATGTATTTAAAAGAAATATTTGAATTTATACTCGGCACATTGGCTTTGACTTCTGCTAAAAGATCTTTCCATTTTAATCATTTTTTTTTCAAAATTTAGTTTTTCTTAAATTCAGTCCTTCTGTAACGACGTTTTATAGTATACTGCTGATTTCTTTTTAATTTTTCGAAAACCTTTAAGATTTAGCTATTGTAAGTGGTTGTATTTTATCAAATTGTGAATCACGTTTTAACACCGCAAAAAATATTACGCTTACTTCACTTGGACAAATAAAATAAAACGTTCGATATCAGTTGTATACTTGGAATGTTTATATTTGGTTAAGAATATATACTACACAGTTGTGGACATAATTTTATAATTTCAATGCAGATTTGTGTTTATTAAATTTTAGGAATTGATAAGTTTTTTAAAATGGAAGGTTTTTTTCATTATTCGTGACCGTATATTTTTTGTTGATGGATTGGTCAACTTCCTTAAATTTTTTCTACATTTCATTGGACAACAAAAGAATATAATGGACCGAATTAAATTGCTTTTAGATATTATTTAAATTCAAAACACAGAGATTTTAATTTACTTAAAAAGTTATTTCTTAAAATTTAAATTTAAAATACACCCGCAACATTGGTAGGTACATATGTTTCATTATTCCAAGTGAATGCATGGGATTCTCTCGCCCATTTTATTTAACTCAGTTCCCGTTGGGTCGAACGATTTGTTATTCGTCAAGTTTCCTTTATTACATATGCATTCGTTATTTCATAGTCGTCCATAATGCCGAGCTTATGACTGGAAGAGTATTCGATTACGGCTCTATTACAGTCCAATACATTTTTAGACTTAACCTTATCAGCTGATATGATTAAGTAAAAGATTTTCGAGTTTTTAATGTAGATCCTAGATTCACAAGGGGCTTTGTTTTTCTGTTCTGATTGACCACGATCTCATATCTGCCCAATGGTTCATACACGCAGGCGGCAATACTTTTACATGGTGCTATATACAAGCACTTTGCTCCAGTGCTTGATCTCTCACCATAATCTCCTCTTATTCACAAAGAATATATTGTGGTAAGTCCGGTATGAACAGATTAATCCCTGAACATACACTGAAAAGGAAGGAAAATCCAATGTTACATATTACTTGGATGATACTTTTCATCCATCACCATTTAATCCAGTACACTTTTTATTATAAGACATATTCATTGGGAAAAAGATTCGACACACTCATTCTAGGTATACGGGTTGACGAAATCTTCATTTTCGGTACCAGCACCGAACCTTTCCCGAAATATAGATTTCATAGTTAGTATTTTAACCAAAATTTTTTCCGCGCAAGTTTGAAACCACCAGTTTATAGTCCCGTCAGACTTGAGGTACAGGTAGCACCTCTTTTCACCCGGATTGCAATCACACCAAGAAGGGGCTAACATGCCCTTGAATATCCAGTAATGTTTTCCGAGCAACATGGACAGCGTACCAGAAAAGAATAAAATATCGAGGCGTAAGTAAAATCGGTTATACAGTGAATCATATTGGGACATATGGTGACTTACTGGTCCTATCCTCTATGTAGAGTAATCATTGTCTATTGGTAACCAGTTCAAATCATTACCACTAGACAAAAGTAATGACTTCTGCAGAAGCTGCTGAATGCCCTGCCGTCGATGATCATAGACTGAATCCGCAAGGTAGCAAGTAACTGACGTGAATATCCCCAAGATAGATTCCATAAATCGTGCGACTAAATGGTTCGGATAGGTTTCCAGAGTTTTTTCAGATCGAATGGTACTAATACGTCGACCATTCTCTCTTTTCAGGCACCACAAAGGTATCAATACGATGGACTTACGTGTGTCCCTAGTGACGTAAATTGAGGACAACCTGCTAACCTAACCTAGCACAAGACAACAGCCATAGTGGGATCTATTTACTAGGGGAATAGATGCTTCTTAGCTAGGATACTTCCCACAAATACTTTAGAGCAAGACACTCTCACTCACTCTTGACATAAAGAATAAACTTGTTAGAAAACCATTGAAAGAAATTATGAAGACCAGTAAGATTTGATCTTGACATTCACTACAATGCCAAGATCAATATTTACATTCGATATTCAGGTAATGAAACCACCAAGTTTTGTTCAATTCTACTGGTTTGTATTCATTAACGAATAATAATGTTATTAATGGTTTATAAAAAGAATTTTGTTTAAAAAGTGCGTAATAAACCATTGGTAACTTCTTCAAGACCAGGATCACATATAATTTACTATAAGACTGACATATCTAAATATTTGCATTTTCTGAACAACACCCACTGACTGCAATTCTCAAAAATTTTCTTCTTATATATAAACATATAATGTTAACTTTTTAAAACTCTTTCTTTTGCTTTAATCAAATTTAATTTATTATTTATACAAAATATTTGAACTTTTTATCGCTAAAAGTTCAAAATAATTTACATGCTTAAGAAGACAACTAGTATCTTACTCCATTCTCTGGCTACTGAAATATTTTATTTCGTTTATTGTAGTTAAATTAAACAAAATTTAACTCATCAACATTCTAAAATAATTTTTAATGAGAAAAGAAGAATGTTAAAAGTGAAATTCCCCCTTTCTGCAATATAATTTTTATAAAGAGTTTTTTTTCTGCATGCCAGCCAAACTTAATGACAAATATAGCATACTTTCAAGAGTACTATAGAGATCACTATACAACAGGGAAGAGAAAGAGAGTCCAAAAAAAGTCTCAAACGAAGATACAACTAAAAATAAATAATGACGTCATATCAAAAACAAATTTTAAAAATATAAACATCTGGATATTAAACTAAACAAATGAAAAAGAAAAGAAAAAAAAGCATACACAAAATTTGAATCATCAATTTGAAATCTTGAAATCTACATAAAATAAAATTAAAAATACTCTTACTATAGATACAACTAGACAAACAATTTACTAACAACTTAAAGCAAAACAAATTTCAAATATACTGCAACCAACATGTGGCGCGTTAAATTCAAACAAAAACTTAAATAGAAATTGTAACAATACATATTACAATAGTGATGATCTAAATGAAACTAAAACATTTACAGTTTATCTTTGAGTTACAAAAAAAACATTAATTGGGACATATTTTTTTGCAAACAATTCAATTGAAATTATAAATTATGAGATAATCGTGGGCGCATAAAACACTATACACTAATAACAACTACAACAGAATTCATTGACAGACAGATAAAAACCACATTCACTCATACTGTGGTAAAAAATATATAAAGTGCTGTCATTTTAGTGCTTTTTGCTCTTTGAAAATTGAAACGAGAGTCTCATATGAAATTCCTTACTGCCGGTCCACACTAGGAAACTTTTTTTGGGAAACTTTTGATTTTGAGTGAGAGAGAAAGAATATCATTCATCTCTCTCGCGGTACGGAGTTTCTCGTACTCGGAAACTTGTTTTGTTTTGTTATTCTTCTCATTCGTACAACAACAAATCAATGCAATTAATACGTAGTTATGAAACAAAAGTTTCTATGTGTGGACCAGGACTTAGAGGGATTCTAGGTAGATTATTGGCAATTTGCAGTCTCTCCATACGGATGTAGGATTTGATATGACAAATATTTTAAAAATTTGTTTTTTTTATTGTACTGGGTAAGGATGGCTGGAGGTGTTATGAGACCCTGATTAAATAGTAGCTACGGTCCATGAGGACCAATAAGGATTGTATCTTAATCAGAGTTAATCCAAATTAATCTTCTCCTTGCATGCACTAAAATCATATATTTCAACTGCTTAATATTACCTATCCGATGACATTCCATGATTTCCGCAATTCTTAACAGTCATTTTGTGACCAATCCCGAGCAACATAATAAAGCAATAACCTTATAAGAAGCCAAGAAGGTTTCTTTATCCGTGACCTTAGAGCGGTTTAAGAACATAATTCTTCTTCATTTATTTCTATGAGAATAAAGTGAAAATAGTTGCAGTGATTGTGCAGCAAGCTGCTGTTAGTCCTCTATTCAAGTGGAGTATGTAAAAAATATCTTTGATATTTCACCCGATATTATGTCAAAAGTTAAACTTCAATAATTTAGTAATCAAAGAGACTTTATCAAATTCGTCAGATTCAGATATATGAATAACACTTGCATTTGATATTTTTACATTAGGTCGCCGGTTTAGTCGAGATCTTTGGCGATTCCACTCCAGGGAAGATCTAACCATACGTTTCGCTAGTTTTCGTAGATTATGCTCTTCATTTTCTTCCAACGATTTGTCTTATCATTGACTCTTCCTTCATCCGCCTATAGAGATCCTAATTTTAGGTCCAAAATATTTGGAGGTACATATTTGTTAATGAAATTTTATAGTTGTTGTACTATATTTATAGACATAAGCTATGTTTTACTTCTATACCGGTATGTGGACTTTTCGCATGAATTAAACATTATTAGTTTTGTGTTTTAAGATATCAGCATTGCTCAGATGTAATGATATTCGAAGATAAACGATTATAATTAATACTTCAATACGTTTTTTATACCCTACACCACTTTAGTGGGGAGGGATATTGGATTTGTGCTGATGTTTGTAACATACAAAAATATTCGTCCTAGACCCACCTTAAAGTATACCAATCGGCTTAGAATCGTTT